AGTCCGATATAATACCCCTTTTTATAATTTCTTATTTATTTAATTTATAGGATACTTATATTATAAAAAACTTCTTAGGTATTAATAATACCTTTATTTTTTATATAAATATTAAAAAGAACTTTTAAAAAATATAGTTCTTTAAGAATACTAACTATATAAGGAGCTTTTTAATAACCTATTTAATAGCTCCCTTAATATTAAAAAGAATAAAGAAAAGTTAATAAAGGGCGGTATACTCCGTATAATTATTACTAAAAGTATAAAAAAAAAGGCTAAGCCTAAGCTTAAAGTCTAATAGTTAAATAAATTTATTTTAATAATAAGGGATTAATTTTAAAATATTATCGTTAGGTTTTTAATACCTTCTTATTATATACTCCCTTAGAGGAGGGCTAATATAAATAGTAATATAATCTTTTATTATAAGAGGGAAAGTATTATCCTTATTATTAGTTTTATTAAAGGGCTAGGTATCTAGGTTATTAATATTATTTTTAAAAATACGATTATTATACGCCTTAGTAACGTTAGCTTCTTTTTTATTAAATTTAGTTAGTAAATTATTATTAGCCCTTATTTTATTAATTTTATTAGGGTTAATATTATTAAAATTAATCGTACTATTTAGGTATAGTATAGTTAGTTATATCTTAATTATCCTTATTAAGGTTCGTAAAATAGCTTACTTATAGTATATATAAAATTTATATTAAATACGTTACTCTTATCCTTTATATTATCCTTTATATTATTATTATTTATTTTAGCATCTACTTAGTAACTAATATCGGCTTCTATTCTTATATTAATATATTTATTTTTATTTTAAAGTTAAGAAACCGGTTAGTTAATATTTAATTAAGATACTTAGCTAGCGCTAAGCTAAGGGGCCCTTTAATAGTAACCTAGGGCGATATTATTTATAAGCGTATTAGTAAAAAGCTTTTTACGTTTACTTATTATTATAATAAATAAGTAGAGGTATTTCGTATATCTATATTATTTTTTTAATAATAGATTTAACGCGGTTAGGCTTATAAAATATTTATAATAAGTATTAAAATAAAAAGTAGAGGTTAAGAGGTTAATTAAAAAAAAGAGGTTAATTAAAGGAAGAAGGTTAACTAGAAAAAGGAGGTTAATTAGAAAAAGGAAGTTATAAAAGTAGGGTTACGTAACTCTTACTAAGCTAACCGGGTCCTTACTAAGCCGGTATATTTCTATTATTACTAAGCGCATATTTATATTTCTATTATTAATTAATTTACCTACCTATATTACTACCTAGGCCCTTTATTAATTTTTTTTAATTACCTATTTCGTATCTATACGTACTTATTAAATAGGAATAAAAAATTAATTTATTTAGCTCTTTACTCGTATTTCTAAACCTTTCTTTTTTCCTTTTTTTATACCTACTACTATAAGTTAGTTTATTATATTAATATAAATAGCTTACTTATTTTACTTTTTACTACTTAACCCGCTTATTATACTTTATATATCCTTACTTACTTATAATATATTACTTATTATATTATTATAATTAATTATTATACTTTCCCATAGTTAAGTTAGAAGAGGTAATAGAAATAATAAGTATAAGAAGTATACGTATCGCTCTATTAAAGCTTAGTCTTAGTTTTAAGCTAAGTATAACGAGCCCCTTTTTATTAAATAGTAGTAATAGCTATATAATAAGGAGCCTAAATAAGAGGAGCCTAAGCCTAAGCCCGAGGCTATATAAATTAACCCTACTCTACTACTTCCCCTAGAAACCCCTTCTATTTATTAAGTAAATATTATAATTACTCTTCTTATTTATTTTAATATTATCTAATTAACTTATTTTATTAAAATGCTCTAATTATTAAAGTTATTAATTATAATTAATATATTATTACCTTAGTTACTAATAACCCCGGCTTTTTTTAAGGCCTATTATATTAATAATATTACTTTTAAAAATATTCTAGACTAGCGCCTTATTATTAATAATAATAGTATTCTTATTTTTTTTAATAGTAATACTCCCCCTAAGAAGACTAAAAAGGGTAAAAAGGCTATTATTAAAAAGGTTAATAACCCTATAATTATTATTAGTACGGTATACGCTCTTACTAATATTCCTAAAAAGACTTATATTATATTACGTAATAAATTAGATCTAAAGTACTATTAAAACTAGCTCTTTTTTTATAATAATAAGTTTATTATAAATATTATTTATAAAGTATTTAAGGATTATATTTTATTATTTAAAGAGGTTATTAAGCTTTATAAGCTATGCGCTACTTAGTACTAGGACTTTTAATATAAGTTCTTTTTTATTTACTTTTTTAATTAATATAATTGCTTTTTTAATAATTATATTAAGGTTTTTAAGCTATACTTTAAGCTTAATAATCTAAATAACGATATTAGTACTCGCTAAACTATATACGACTTATTACTTAGCTAGCTAAGTAAAACTATTTTTATTACTATTTAGCGTTTTACTAAGTCCTTTATTAACTACGAGGTTACTTTTCCTAATTAGTAATACTTACTTTATTACTTTATCTATATTATTTTTATTACTTTAACTTTTATAATATTTAAGTATATTAATTATAAAAAGGAGCTTAATAAGGATCTTTTTAAAAATAAAAAGCGTATTATAAATAAGAATTTCTATATTAAGATTTATAATACTTATAAGGGCCTTATTATTATAAAATACTTTATAAATATTAATAAAGAGCTCTTTATTTAAAAAAAAAGAGACCCTATTATTAATAGTCGTATTTTAAGTATTAAGCGTTATATTTATTACTATATATAAAATAATAAGGCTCCCCCGTTACCCTTTATTAATTATATTACTCGGGCTCCTATTCTTAGCTTTTATTTACTTAGGCCTACCCTTAGTTCTTTTACTTCGAATATTAATAGTTGTTTTTTTATATTTAATTTTATTAATAATATTACGCAAACCGAGCTATATAATTCTTTTATTAATATTACTAGTATTAATAGCTCTCGTCGTAACTTTAAAATAAATAGTATTTATAATACTTACGAGTTAGCTAATAAGTCTAATACTATTATTATAACTAGTACTTTACTTAGCTCTCTTTTTACGTAATATAGCGCTTACTATAGTTAATCCGCTATATATTTACTTATTTAAATACTTAGCTATCTCTATTTTTTTTAATATTAATATAGTACTAATTATATTATTTAAGTTTAACCTTCTCGCTTTAATATAAAAAGATTAGTACGGCTTATTATTAATATAATAAATATATAATAAGAAAATATAGAGGCTATAAGGAGGGAAAGAGGGCTAATATATTAGTATATAAACTTAGGCTTAAGGGTTACGAAGTAGATTATTATAAAAGAGGATAAATAGTATATTATTTAATATATAGTCCCTTACTTAGAAGTAAATTAGCGCTACTTATAGCCCGTTTCTTAGAAACGTATTAAGTATAAGTAACCGATTTAACTTTAATTATATATATATATATTAATTATAAAAGCTAATTATATAATATTTACTTTAGTAATATATAAATTTACTAATATACTAATTATATAATAGCTCTTTTTATTTAGTTACTTAGTAATCCTTATTATTTATTTTCTTTTCGTAGCTTATATAGCCGTAAATAAGTTTTATATAATACTTTACGTAGTATTTAATACTTTACTAGCCCTTATACTTAGAGCGGTTTTCTAACTTTAATACTTTAGATAAGCGGGTAAGTACTAAGTTCTATAATAAGTAGGTCTCTTTACTATATCTATTTTACTAATTTTACGATATTTATAAGTATATATATTTTATATATTATATATTATATATTATATTAAAAATATATATTATATCGAATTTTATATTATTATTTTTTTTTACTAAATATAATACCCTTTTATTAAACTAAATTATAGTATATTAGTTATACTAATTTTTTTTATTTAAATTACTTACTTACTTATTATAGCTTTTAATAATAATAATAGCCCGAGCCCTTTTATTATTATTATTAATATTATAATTAAGTACTACGCCCTATAAGGTATTAAAGTTAGAGGATCTAGCCTACGGGCTAATAAAGCTTAAATAATTATTATAAAATAATTAGAAATTAAGGAAGCTAGCCGAGGCCTTATACTAGAGCCTAGTCCGAGCCCGAGCCTAGAGCTATAGCCCGCTAGTTAAGTAAAGTTTAAAAAGGACGATATTATTATTATAACGATAGTAAATATACGTCTTCCTTTAGTTTTTATTTACTAATAATAAATAACTAATTATTAATTTCTTTTTTTTTTAATCTAAGCTTAGTAACGAGGAGTATATTAACTTAGTAGGTATATAATTAGAATAATAGTAGTAATAGTATTAATAATAATATTAATAGTACAAAAGGTCCCCTAAGTAATAATAATAATAATAGTAATATTAATAATAAAAAAAGACTACTAAAGGCCCTAAAAAGTAATAATAATATTATAATAGTTATACTAATAATATTAATACTATAATAATTTTAAAAAAAATTATATAAGTTATAATAATATAAAAAAAGCGTTTATAATATTTAAATTAATATAATACTTATTATTAGTTATATATTTTTATATAATATTATTATTATTTAGATTTATATAAGAGGAATATAACCTATTTATAACTCTTAAAACTCCCGATAACTTTATAATAACGATAGTTCGGGTAGTAATTATTATATATGTGACTATTATTATTAATAGTTACTCGAGTATTATGGGGGAAGTAACCTGCCCCCTCCTCCCGGTAAGGTATGGAACAAGTGATGTCAATTCGATATAACTGCAGATTCATCTCTACTTTCGCCTATTTTCGAATGTTCCAATGATCCCCTAGACTTTCCAGGTTGGTAGCATATCAGTGCTGGCTGTAAATTGGAACCACGCATGCCACCACGCACGTCCAATCCTGGGTTTACGCCTCCAACATTTGCTGGTCAAATGATACTGGAAGAGTTCCTAACTGGCTCGATAGCCCCAGAAAGTCTTTCCTCCATTTTCTTCTCCTTCTTGTCTACTTCTCCCTCCACAACAGTTTCGGAAGCAGGCTGTTCGCCAGCAGCCTGAGCTTCTTGTTGCAGCTGACGCTTGTGCAAGAAATCCGCAATGACTGGAAGGGTTCCCTGTCAGTTTGTCCTGAAGGTCGCACTTGGGGGTCGTTAAAATGGGGGAACTTACGGACTATAATCACGGCCGCGCGCGCGAATGATAGGATAGAGGGGAAGTCTCGCTCGAAGGTGGGTGCCATGGTCTGCGGGAAGGTGAGAATAGGCAAGAAAGAGTCTACACCGTTAGTCAATTGGCGAGGAAAAGGTCTGTTGCCCCTTAGGTTGGACTCACTGGTCGCGTAGAATAGTCCATTCATGCTGGAGATAGTCAAGGCACGCTCTTCCACGTTCCCATCGTTCACCTCATTCGCCCACGTCTGTATTGCAGTTAGTTTCACCACTTAATTTGCTAGCATACGCAGCCCAACGCTGTCTTACCCAAGTAACAGCCGTAACATAACCACAAGTTGGTCAACGACGATGTCCTCATCATGCCCATGATCGAGACCAGAGAAGGTGTTGAAAACGTAGAGTGAGTACCCACAGTCTCACACAACGGGAGAAGAATCCCATGTGGGAGTTGTTGGGGTTAATCAAAATCACAGAGCCATCGCCGCCGTGCCGGGCATCGATGCCTTGTTCATTGGCTGCGCAGATCTCTGCATGGAGTAGGTCAACCGCTATTCCGCCGTAGAATAGGACCGATGTATGCCATTTCGAGACTGAAGCTGACGTTTGGTTATCCCAGGCTCGCAGTCCCTGGGCAACACGACTCGGAATTCTTCCACTCTACCGTTGCCAAAATCGCTAACGCAGCAGAGAAGGCGAGCGTGGATGGACGCAAGGTGTCCGTGGGACTCGGCGGGCTGGAACCGAGGCCAGACCTCCTGGAGGCACTGGCGAAACGGCATGCTTCTATTCGGTAAGTGTTTCCTTCGCGTCGGTGTCCCATTCGTTTGACGAGGGAATTCGCTCACATCATCGACCTCAGATTCGCAATGGCAGGCCGTGATCTAGCTCTTTTACTCGCAGGCATGTCAAAACAAGCGGCGTCAATGAACGAAATTTCGAACCAACTCCAATAGTTATTTTGAGCCAACCCCCAAAGAAGAAAAGGCAGACAAGGGAATTCTCCTAGCAAAAAAAAGACTATGGGCACTAAAACACAAACCGGCCAAACCCGAACTCCGCCGAACTATTCCCCGGCTTCCAAATCCCGGGCAGCAAACCATTCTCGCTCGCAATGCAAAAGAGGGTAAAATGATTTTTGAAAGAGAATCGTGTCGTCGTTGGTAAGGTGTAGGGATTTTGGGATCGATGAAGGCGTGACGCATGAGAACTACTCGTCTCTCCATGCGTTTTCGGCATTTTCGACATTTCTGAGCGAAGAGGGCTCAATCCTGTTGGACCCAGTGCGAATACGGCCCCGTTGTCCCTCTCCCGTGGTGCCATAATGAGGGTTCAGGTCGCTGTATCTCACAATGTCTTCAGATTCCTCACCACTGTCATGCGCTGAGTGTGTGGAGATTGCAGCAGTGAGAAGAGGTCTGCGCTGGCGCTCTTCGATCGGACGCTCTGAGAGGTGGCTCCAGGGTTGCGCCCACCATGCGTGTCTCCAGTTGCTGGCACTCTGCATAAAGAGCAGCGTCAGAACCTGTGACGAATGTCTCATTAGCCCGGAACGGCTGTGGCCTGGTATATATCTATATCAGACATACCTGTAGCACACCCACGGTGATGACGATGCCTAAGTCGATGGAGGAATTCCGCACCGTTGCATCCCTCCACGGTCCGATGCAGGCAGTATCTCGACCAGTAATTTCGGCGCACCGGGCATTAGCACCAAATGGCCAACCGCGGTCCTTGACGCTGTTCAGGCCACAGCAATTAAGGCTATCCTGGATGCGCCTGATGGTCGACTCATCCTTGGCGACAAACATGCGCTGCCAGCTGGTAGACAGGGCGCAGTTTAGGCCATCGCCGGGAAGAGCGGTTTGCAACAGGATAACGGCGACAGCGGTGGTCAAGATGCCTTGAAGTGTCTGGATAATGGTAGGAAACAGCTGCTCGGTCCGAGCGAGAGAGTTGCTCGCATTGAATAGCAGGCGCGGGTAGTAAAATGCGTTGATAGTGCCGAGGATGGGTAGCAGAATCGGAAGCAGAGACAAGAACGGCGAGATGGGAAGGGCGAGATTGGTGCTCGTTACGTGAACGACGCTGTGAAATGATTAGCAGAGAAATTTGCGGTCGGTGATGTTTGAGAACTCACATGGCCGTCGTCAGCAGTCCGATGCAGATCTATAGAAGTATTTTGGTTAGATATTACCTGATATCGTTCACGGTTTCAAATGGTGTTAGTGGATGCCGGCTGTTGGGGCTTACCAGTAGAAACACTACGCCTGGATTGACCCCCATGATGAGCTTTTGAAGACGAACAAGCGCGCAACAACACCAGATCGCTTCCGACCGTTGGAATAGAATTTGTTTAGCAATCAGTGTATGAACATTGATGAGAAGGCGTCTGGCTTCACATGTGAATAAGTAATAGACGAAAGAGAGAGAGCGAGAGTTGGGAAGAAGAAAAACGGGAAGAGGGAGGTGTGGCGCCGTTCGTCGCCCCTCCAAGAGGACCCCAAGGGACCCAAAGGTGCCGATCGCTGCGCTGGGGTGGGAAGCTGCTTGATGCGGCCAAAATCGAACATGCCCATTTGCGGCACCAGCAGCGAGCAAGCGCCCACAAGCACCGACGCCAGACAGCATCCAGTCATCCCAAATCTTCCCAAAAGAACTTTGCCGCAGTCTTTCGACGTCATGGCTCAACCCTCCGAGAAGCTTATTCCTTCAAACTCCAGCACGCCATAGGCTGGAGGCACTTTCGTACGAGGGACCAGTCATCTCTACAGACTGGGTGAATCTGGTCTTGGGAACACCCTGGATGACTGGATGTCGCCGTGTAGCACCAGATGGACACACCAATGCTGGAGGCCCAACACCAGTGTGTCAGTGTGCCATCCAGAGAAGAAACAGAAGAAGTGTGTGCGCGAATCTGCGAGAGACTGTTGGACCCCGCATGCCGTACGACCAGCGACCGCATTCACGGAGGCGCAGGCCGCTCATCCCGCAACCCTCCCATGCCGATCCAACGTCCTTCCAGCTATTTCTGACCCGAGTGTCGAAGGCGAGGTGTGTTGTCCTGAATGTATCCCGTGCATTCGTCCATCAAATGACGCGACAGAACTGATTGTTTTCTGTCGGTGCCGCGCTGTCCACGTACAGCCTTTTGGCGGTGTGTCGGACGATGGATTCGACTCCAACCTCCTCACTCTCTTCCTGGCGACGAGGGAGGCATACAGGCAGGCAGTCAGGCAGACTCCTCGCGCGCATCAATCAGTCTTTGACGGAGTGTAGGGTAAGCTGATGATGACGCCAGCGGCAGGGAGGCAGCTTTCGGGAAGCTGTCTAGCTGCCCGTCCAGACTCCTCCATGGCCCCATCGAGATGCTTGTTACCCTTGCAGTAGTGCTCCGTGCGTTTGCGTTAGCCCTCTCGATAGTGCTTTTTTTCTCGCACATGCATCGCCAGGTCAATAACCCTCCGAGCTGCATTTGGTTCGCCTGCCAATGTTTGATGAGGAATGCGTTAAATCCCCAGGCTCATGATATCGTTTGCGGCCGCAGACAGGAAGGACTGAGACATTTCCAAACGGTCTCGCCCGCCTGAAGGCCTTTCCGTCGGCCGATATGTTACTACTTGAGGTAGATACCAGGCCCGATGCTTATAAGTTGTATCTGTCTGCTGCCTGAAGTGACGGTCCTTAGACGACACAGCCTACGAGGCGGAGAGCTTGTCAATGCGAATTCGAGTGAGTCAAAGATGATGAGGCCTAGATGTGCGATTTTAACAACAGAGAGCCGAGTATTATGGTATAAGACAGAGGGGCACCACAGTCGAGTAATTATTGCCGGTCGATACCAACTCTGGCGAGACAAATCCATGTGCTGGGGTAACTAACAAGCAGCTAGCTGTCTCCGGAACAAGCGTGGGGTTGTATTGGAGGAGGGTCGCGCAGAACTCTGCCTAACATTTTCAGAGATGTTCGGTACACCGTATGGCCACCAGCTGATGCCAGTAGTCGACGAAGTCCTTGGCGTTCAATCCAGGTTGGAGGCGGAAGGATATACCACGAGGTCTAGGGGTATGGCAAGGGGTTTGGGGGCGGAAACGACAGCCTCGGAGGAGGAGCTTCAACTTGCAGCATGGGCGGACCCACAAGGCTGAATGAATGTTTCCAGATGCCGCCCGGCTCCCAAGATGCCCAGCCGGTAAAGAGTCGCCGAGGTGGAGAATGATTCCGGTGAGAGAACCGGCTTGGATTGGAACGCTGACGACGCTACCGTCAGGGAGCTCGGGGTGGTATCGTAGCAATCTTTGTTTCTCCTCGAATACCCCCGAATTGAAAGTGTCTTTCAGGTCTGATTGGTTGTTTTCACTGCTCGGAGCGTCGTCTGACATTGTTCAAGAATGATCCAATGATTGAGCTCGGATTCTCCAACTTGAAGCCATGGAGAGCATTGTCGGTCCCAGAGTGCCATCGAAAAAAACGTCGGACACCGTTTTGGCAGTCGATTGCCAGGCAGGCATGAAGATACCGGGCAAGATAATGGGTAGTCCATGTGCTAGAAGCCAATCGAGGCCGATGATCAAGCGCCATCTGATGGTGGTGTTCGTGTGTTGAGACGAACTTGACCAAGAGCTGTGGGCTCCGAGCTAAGGGAACACTGAGGGCCGGAACTTATGTAAGCAATCCTCTAGCCGAATAAGGGAGAGAGACTGGAATTCAATTCGTCAAAGCTGCTTGAGCTCCCCGCCAATCTAATCTTAGCGTCTCCACTCCGCAGCCCCTCCATCGGAGAAGATGCGGCAGGTGTGGCAGCAGGAGCTGAGCTGACGGGAAGGAGGGGCAACTCCAGTCCACAGCTTGTTCCTGCCACCTGCTGTTGCGCTGCTGCTACCTTACGCGGCGTGCATCAGCCAAGATTGACGTCGTCGTTTCCCGCCATCATCTTGCCGGAATTCCTGTTTGCGACCATCTCAATTTCTCTCCCTTTAATATCTACACATACCCCGCGTACCTAGTGGACATCTGGGGTTAGAAACATTATCCTCACTTCCGGAAGAGGCAATCTAGAGAGACGACCGCCGCGGAAACGTCACCAGCAATGGCCTCACTAACTTCAAAGTTTGCCAACCTCAATCCCTTCTCCAAATCGGCGCCAGAGGATGAAGAGGAGCTCGGCGATGCGACCGACAACACCACCTTGGCCGGCGGAGGCCACGCTGCACGCGACTCAGACCTTAAGCACCGTCTCCGCGTGAGCCGTGCCATCAAGTCTTTCCTTGTCGATCAGAAGGCCATCTCCTCCAAGGAAGCAAACGTCGACTCAGAGCAGCTCACCCCCGAGTTGCAAGCCCTCGTGTACAAGCCTCACATCAGCGTGCCCCGCGAGCTTACTGATAGATCCCACCCATTGCCCGAATACTTCATCAGCTCCAGCCACAACACCTACCTTCTGGCCCACCAGCTTTATGGAAGCTCTTCGGCAGAGGCCTATGACGAGACGTTGCGTGCTGGCGCGCGATGCGTCGAGATCGATGCCTGGGATAACCCCGACAACAAGGACGAGCCCAAGGTCACCCACGGATACACCCTCGTCTCCAACATCCCTTTCCGCACCGTCTGCGAGACCATCCGAGATGTCGTCGACCAAGAAGCCAAGGAACCACACCCCGCTGCGCCAATCCTTCTGTCTCTCGAGAATCACTGTGACCCTGAGGGTCAGCTGCGCCTGGCATTCATCATGAGAGAGGTCTTTGGAGATCGCCTCCTTAGCCAAGCCATCAGAGAAAAAGGCCACGCCGAGCAAGAGGGCCAGGCCAACCATGTCCGTCTGGAGGAACTCGGCAACAAGATTGTTGTCATTGTCGAATATCACTTCCCCGGAGAGGCCGACGACAGTAGCTCGAGCTCAAGTGATGATGACGAGGAGGAAAAGAAGGCCAAGAAAGATTACAAGGAGAAAAAGAAGGCTGCGCCTGCTTCGCTGATTGTCCCAGAACTAGAGGCACTCGGCGTCTACGCCCAGTCCGTCAAGCCCATCAACAATTCATGGTTTGAGGAGGTTCTGCAAGATGCGCCGCACCATCACCTCATCAACGTCTCCGAGTCTGGGCTGGCCTCCCATCTGCCGACGCACACTGACAAAATCTCCCGCCACAACGCTCACCATCTGATGCGTGTTTTCCCCAAGGGAACTCGCATCTCTTCCAAAAATCTCCATCCCGTTCCCTTTTGGGGAATTGGCGCCCAGATCTGTGCCCTCAACTGGCAGACATTTGGAGCATCAATGCAGCTCAATGAGGCGTTATTCGCCGGTTCTGAGGGTTTCATTTTGAAGCCCGCCGAGCTCCGGCCCGGTGGCTCGGGCCACCTCAGCAGCGGAAGGAAGCGAAAACTCCGTCTACACGTCGGCGGTGCCACCGACATTCCCGTGCCGTCCGATCGCGACGAAGACGAGACAATCAAGCCCTACCTCACGTGCACGCTTGTACATCCTCATGATCTCGATATCAAGCCTCCAAAGAGGAAAACGGCTGGCTACAAACAGCACAAGCTGACAGGATTCTTGCACAAGGGAGAGAATCCACCACCCACCGACCCGCTATGGGACGAGGTCCTAGAGTGGGAATACCAAGACAACGAAATGGTTTTCTTGCGGATGCTCATCAAGAGTGATGACAGCTTCGCCAAGAACCCAATCTTTGCCGTTGGCGCGGTACGACTGCTCTACACGATACCGGGCTGGGTCTTTATCCGCATGCTTGACCTCAAGGGAAGAGAAACCAAGTGTTCCATCCTCGTCAAGTTTGAGGTTGTCGACGCGTAAAGATAACAATGTATACGCTGACTGTTTCGAGTATCTCCCGAAACTTTCGTAATATAACACGCTTGCAATTACTTGTCCGATCAATGTAAGGACTGATGTGCGATTGAACACATCGTAGCTAGTGCCATATGGATCTCTACTTAGCTTAACAGCGGCTTCACAGAAGCAGATATGAGATCTTGTCACAGCATTTGATATAAGGAATATACATAATTTTCCTTACACGCGCGCATCATGCAGCCTGATCAGCGGCACATGGCACGACCTCGTCCCGATCCTGAACCTCCCCCGCCAAGAAACCACTGCCTTAGTAAGCGACTTCTGACCCCAAGACAGAGACATGGACGGTGTTGAGACCTATGAAGGTTTCGAGGCACCGGGCCTACTGCTGTCAGTATGGTTGGTGTGGTGATCGAGTCCAGTTAGGTGTTGGACACATTCCGCCCACGTTCGTGTACTGTACCACACAAGACCATGGCGAAAGGTGAGAAATAGGTTTCCGGGAAGGATTCAAAGGATTCTGGATTCATGTATAGTAAAGACTTCACCCTGGCCTATAGCTGAAAGGGACGGGGATACACTCGATTCCCCTTGTCGTATGTGATTACACACTAGTGCTCGTACAGCCGGACGCCATCAAGAAGCATCACAGGCGGCATCTTCGAGGCAGGCGACAGTTGCTACTTACACTATACTGCCTCTCCTGACATAACAACCTTCACAAACAAGCATCCTCCCTCTACATCACACGCGCCCCATCCATAGGCCCCCAACGGAAACCCCACCAAATAAACGCTCGCTACACCTCCAATATGCGGGAAGCCTCGCTCGGCTCACCTGTCATGAACAGACTTTACCCGCCGCCCGCCGCCCGCCATCCATCCATCCCCGTCGGCTAGGGAAGAACCCGACAATTAGTCGAACCTTGAAGGTGCGAGAGGCTGATGAACGGGAAAGAGAGTGTGAGGCTCTTCCAGGTGTATCCTTGCGTGTGCTGAATCTGGATTGCTGGGTTGATGAGTGCCGGTTTACTACCTGACTACCAAGTGACGGGTTGCGAGTCCCCCCGTACCAGGTTCATCGCTTTCGTAACTTTGTTCATCAGCCGTCCGAAATCTAGATAAAACTGGTTTGCCGTTCTTCATCGTACTCACTTCTCATACTCACTGTGGCCTGTCTCGTACAAATTTGTCAGCTTGATAAGATGATTGTATCCAGTTGGTGGAAATTCACACAAACTCCATAATCCTCCTACTCCGGATCTTCGCAACTCACCACTTCCATCCGAGCACCATCTCACCCCGTCCGCCCTCCACTTCCGCAGCCGTGACGCGGTCCCACACCCACCCACACACGGCCCCGAACGAAGTCCAGTCCAGTCCGTCTAGTCACAACTGCCCCGTACGCCTCGACCACCAAAACCAACAAGCGGCCCTCCCAAAAAGCCCCAAAAAAAACTCAAAGCACCGCTGAAATCCGAACTTCACAAAGGCCGGCTCTTTGGGTGGCCTGAAGGTGGGTTGGTAGAAAAACTTTACCACCCGAAGTGCAAAAGAGACCCTTTCCATTTGGGAGGGTGAGGCGAACTCACGCAAGAGCCAACACCACCCACTCTGCAACTGACTTACCGAGAGGGAGGGACAGAACACAGACTGGGAGGAACGGCCGCGTTGCGAGCGGTTTGAGAAAGGTTGGGATGATTCGTGGACAGCCCTTTCCGCGGGCAGCCTGTGTTTGCATGTACCTGGTTCGTGCTCCATGTAGAGCGGCGCCGACTCGGCGAGAGCTTTTCAGTACTCTGTTCATTCAGTAGTTACGTAGTAGAGATGATTTATGAGGGCATTTCAGTTGATTGCTCAGAATTGAGCCACAGCGATGAGCGGCTGACACTGAACTGTGAGATTACTCAACACAGCACCATGTCTCTACTTGTAGTGATGAGTTGAGAGAGACACCGGGCTTAAGCAACTCTACAAGCACACAAAAAGTCACAATAAATGACGGAATAAATCAGTGATGTGAATGAAGACGTTCCAATCGTCTATAGCCGTAATTTACTGCTATGCTATCTCCGTCATCAAAAGTTGACACCCGCATCCTGCGTCCTGTACGTCCTCGTCACCCTCGGATCCCACTTCATCTTGTTCTGCCTCTCAAGCTCCTGCTGCCTCTCCACCTCCAACTCGTCAATCTGCGCAAAGTTCCTCTTGCTGCGGAACGGCCACCTGCCCTTACGGTACAGCATCCCAATCACCAACCCGAAGATCAAAACCCCGCCCACGGAGCCCAACGCGATAGGCAGCGCCGGCATCAGCTTCACGTTGCTGCCGCCCGAGGTCTCGGCTTGGCTGGGCGAGGCGATGCCGCCGCTTCCGCTGTTGGCGTTGCCGCTTGGCGTGGGAGTCGGCGTCGGGGTCGGGATGAGGCTGAGGGGCGTGGTCTCTGGTATCACGGGGGCTGGAGGCGGTGGGATGAAGGATGGCGTTGGCGTGGGGATTTGGTCGCCGACGCCTGGTGTTGAGATGGGTATCACCCCGGGGATGGATGTTGGTGAGGGGAGTGGCGGCGGGTCGGAGAGGGATGGTGTGGGTGTTGATGTTGCGTTTGTGGTGGTTGAGATGATGAAGGTTGTGAGAGGGCGGGCGGAACTCGATGGTGGTGGTGGAGGCGGCGGCGGCGGCGGCGGTGGTGATGGTGTTGGTGTTGGTGTTTGTGAAGACGTCTGTGAGAGCGTTGGTGTGTTCTGCCTTATTGGTGCCGATGATGATGAGAATGAGGCTCTAGCAGGCAATGATGATGATGGCGTCGCTTTTATTGAGGGTGTTGGTGTTGTTTGTGCCCTCGTTGCTTCGCTCAGTGTGTTTGGTGTTCCTGTTCCCACTCCCGTTTGCCCTCCCAGACTCGTGGGAGGCGTTTTGGCGTCAGGTTGGTTGTCGGCCATGATGAAGAAGTGAGATGGTTGAGTCGTGAGAGTAAATGATTATCGCTATTCGTGCTTTGTGGTATATGTTTTGGTACGTAAAGGCCGTTTGAATATGTTCGTTGCGTCGTAGTAGATTATGTTCAGTATGAGCTCGGGGCCTTTTGGTGGTGGGGGAATTCCTCCGAATAACCTCGTAACCAACTCGAGTGTGGTGAGGTATGATGAAATCCTGATCTCGAAAGCAGGTTCAATGTCCCAATGACGACTAGGTAGTGTCAGGTGACGGCGTGAGGTGGGTGGTATTTTCCGATGTAAGTCGATCCAGCGGCTCAACAATCGCCCTCTCTCTATTCCTCTTGTTCGTCTTCTTGATTTTTCGTGCCAAGCCTCGGAAGCTGTCAACGTCAAGGCCAGTTCAAACAAGACAAATTAAACACTCAATAAACATCATACAATGCCAGTCCCAAAATAAATAAAAAAGAGACCAAGGAACTTGCCGTCCCAGAAAAAGAGGGCTGGGGGGGAACAGGAATCTTTAAACAAAGATGTGCCGGTGGCCACGTACCCCCTTCCTCTTACACTCTTCAGCGTATATTGACAGAGAGTACATGACATGGTGCCATGTATGTACATTGTTTAGGTACCCCATCCATTCCTCGTCTCTCCCTCGGTCCGTCGACCGTCGTTCACATCAAATTCTCTGACGGTTTGAACACCCCTCCCCCCCATCATCCGAGAAACCTTACTGTGAGAGTTTTGGCTGACGTGACGCAGAGTCGGGACAGTGAGAGAGGGAGCAACTCACACTCACTCTTCCTCTCTTCCTCTGTGCGTATGAGCGTATGTCAATGTCTCAATGAGGAAGATGAATGTACCAGGGATCTCCAGGGGTCGCAACCGTCTCACAATGGTATTGATATTGATCCCTGCACGCCAGTTGGAGGCTCAAAGCGCGGCTCCGATGCACAGTCTTCTGCAGCACTAGACTCAATATGTCTACGTACGCAGTACTTGCTTCTTGACTGACAGTAAGCGTGTCAAGTCCCGTCCCGCAAGACAACTACTGCATAGTGGGAGCAACTAGCCCCCAAGAGCCCAAGAGGGGCACGGAATAATGTGGCCTTCGTTAGTCACGTCTTAGTCTCACTCTTATTCCCTCCCCCCTCCCGCAAAGTCCCAGGGATCTAAAGACTGAAGCCCCAATGCTTGCATGTTGGCAGGGTTGCTGCCAGCCCGTTCCAGACGTGGAGTGTTTGAGTTGATCTTCTTCAGACCAATGAAACCCCCAATCCTTCCTTCGTCCCACCTTTTCTCTCGCCCTTCCGGCCGCCAAACCACCCCCTCTCCAGGTTCATCCCTCACGACCCGCCAATGTCTCTTTCAAAGTTCCATCAGCCCTTTCTCTCTGTGTCTTGAGGCTCTCAGTCTCTCGGTCCACTGCACGTCTCTAGACAATGGAACAGTTCGATCGGGAGCTTAGAGGGCCCCCAATTGTGTCTTGGCCCCAAGTGGAGAGCCCCAACTAAACTACTGGCGTCGCATTCAAATCCGAACATTGCAACGCAAAAGAGTCTATCGAACATATCCGTTCTCAATAAGGTAATCAGGGTTATCCGTATTGTCTCTCATTCCCCCCAAAGAAGCCACCAGAAACCGGACTAAGTAACTAACGTTAATAATCCCTGACGACAACCGGGGGGAGAGGAAGAGCCTCCTCGTCCTCATCTGCTCTTCGCATCACCCACCGCTGCCCGACCTGACGTCGGAACACCCCCGTACACGGCGTCACCTGTCAAACTCGCCAACAGGCAAACTTCGGAAACTTGCATGATCCCCGCGTCGCAACCCATACCGACTCGTCTGTACTCCGTTACCACCCCGGCCATCGTACACTTTTCCCCCTCGGCAGGACTGCCAGACTGGTCACCTCCTCAACCCCAATCCAGCCATCTCTTACACCGACACGCCGTCAAGCGCGGGCAATCAGGGAGACCGTAGACAGGGGGGAGGTTCAGGGCTTTGCACGCTTTGCACGATCTCCGTTCGGTAACCGGCCACGGAAGTTTTCTTTCTTCTTTCTGTAGGCTGCACTGGCAATCAGGCAAGACTCTTGCTACGGAGTCCTCTGTTGCTATCCATAGAAATCTCCACATCCTTATCATGCCCTACCAGGCGACAAAAAGAAACAGGGTTATCTTCAGCCTCCCCCGACGCGTTCGGTTGACTCGGCACGCTCCCCTGGTGCAGCTTGATTCTGCATAGAGAAAGAGGCCCGTCGTCTCCCCTACCCCCTTCGGCAGTCAAGACTTTCTAAAACGCAGCTGTCAAAACAATCCCGCGCCGGGGGTGTGCAAGGTAGGAGAAAGAAAAAAAAAGGCAGGGCACCTTTCGGTCGCCCACCGAGAATCTTACGACACCCAAGGCATGCCCTCTCGTTCGGGCGGTGGGCGACCCGGATCCGAGGTCGGGCTCATTCCGCTAGTCAAAGTCGAAAATTCCTCTCGTTTCCTTGATCACGCCCATCCCGCCCAGGAGGAGGGCAGACACGTCATGTGGTAGCACTCCGTCCCATCTTCCTGGTGGTGCACTCTCCTAGACTCTCACTCGGTGGATGGGACGCCAATGTCAGAGATATACTGAACGGTAATAGTGCGACTATAGTGATCGAAGGTTGCACCGTCGATCGTCTCTTCTTGGTAGCCTCGCACTTCCTCGGTACCATCCACGTGAAGAAGCTACGTGGGATATCTAGAGCATAATGCGGTAAGAATGCCTATTCTAGCATGGCGCCGACATCATCGCGAGTCTCGACCAACTTTTTTTTTCCCGACATTTGGAAAATCAAGAAAAGGATATGCCGAGGCCCAGGAGCCTGCTTTATGGTTCGTCTTTGCTTTTTGACGTTTCGAACGTATTCGGGTTTTTCATGTGCAGGACTGCAGGTGTGTTCTCCTGCAGTTAGTTGATGCCGCGAGAGGACAACGTCAAAGCGGCGCGGGTTGGGAAACAAACGACGTACGAATCCGAACCCGCTCCACGTTTTATCATGTCGGTATCTGTGTAATTGCTACTTCACACTTTAACGCTGCAAATAATGTCGAACCGAAAGGCAGAGCATTTTGGGTCTTCGTTAATCATGTCAAAATCAAGCGAGCTTTGCGAAGATTGCGACTTTGTTTGATGATGCCATTGAAAACACCAAACAAAAATCTCGAGCTGTGCGGTGGCGGAGCAAGGCGAGAAACACCAAAAGGGACCCGTGTGTACCCCTTCAAGGAACACTGTCAAGGAATAACAATTAATTCCTGTCGTAAGCCAAGGTCCGGTTGGTGCCATGGTTCACTGGCCCGCGATATCTTTCAGATGCTTCGGTACAGTGCTGGAGATCTGTCTATCTCGCCCTTCTTCGTTCCCCGTCAACTTGACTTACACGGAATTAATCAACTGAATCCCATCACTGCGCAACTCCCGATCAGAAGAAGACGGGAAGGAGACCCACGACTCCATAGTCTCACAGCTCTATCTCCCGAAAGCTAGCTGACTGAGAGGATGCCGAGTTGATTACCACGTAAGGATACGGATATGCTTATCAGTCGCACCATCTCCTCGGCCAGCCTCAGTTGGGCGGCAATCATCCATCTTTCCGTCGTCACTCAAACTGCCGCCTGTGGCAACATAGAGACTTGAGAATGTAGAATGCCATCATCTCCTCAACTCGAAACAACTGAACTCTTCAGCTCCCCCGTAAATAGAATCAACAACACTACGGAAAGAGGAAACAAGAAACACCATTCAAAGAAAGGCCACCCCCGGCGGCCATGACGCCACCGGCCCCCGCCGGGTCCCCGTTCAACCCCACAATCACCGCACCCGCGACCGAAGACTGCGGCGAACCACCGGCCAAGCGGAGAAAGACGCAGGCTTGTTCACGGTGTCGTCGGCGAAAGGTACGTTGCTATTTTCTTCTTATTTCTCCTTCTTTCTTCTTCTTTCTTTTTTTCCTTTTCCTTCTGGGTTTCCACTTCACTGTGTGTAAGAGCCAGAGACATCCATTCTCTGGTACCCTAAAGCAGCACTGTCACCAATTTTGAAACAACCACTCATTGCCCAAGTTGGGTTGACCCTTTGACCAAGATCATCACAACTTCAAACCCCACCATTCCCAAAAGAAGAGGAAACCTGGACAGGTGCAAAAAGGGGAAGGGGCTGACAATCTTTGTTTTTTTTTCCCCCTCGACCAGCAAAAATGCGATGATCAGAGACCCTGCGCCAACCGCGCCAGGTCGGGAGAGCGATGCAACGAGGCGGTGCTCCCGTCGTCCTATCAAACCGGGCCCCCGGGCCCCGGGTTCCCTCCGCTGTAAAGTTTCTCTCCTTCTCCCCTGCTCTTCCCCAGTTGCGAAGGAGGAAACAACTAGTTTCACGTTGTTGGCTGGTTCATAGACAGTAGTTTGCGACGGTTGATCTCTCTCTCTCTTCGCCGATCTGGATCTGCTCGCAACCCTCCTGGTCCAAACTTGTAATGTTATACTGATGCTGCGGTATCACCTCCCCTTCTAGGAGTTCAGATCATCATCTTCTTCACCATCCCGCGACGCACACACCCCTAGCAAGGCTGGGTGACATCGCGTTGTTGGAGGAGCGCATATCGCGTCTCGAAGAGACCGACGCTCGTCTTCAGGTGGTCGTCGATAATCGGAACAATCATGTCCAACACAGCTATGTGCAAGAGCCGTCGCTACCATCATCGTTGTCTCGCGCGCATGAAGCGTCTCATCCACATCACCACGCAGACAAACACCATCACCACCGACGCAGAGTCTCATTCGCATCAGGGCCGGGAATCGGACCAGAAGCTTCTCTCTCAAGGAGCTCGCCCGCCATCGGCCTCTTGGCTACCATTGCTCGCTCAGAGGAAGACAACCCACCACCACAAGCACTACCTAATCCATCAGTCCACGATGGCGGCAACACAGCACGTAGACCCGACCAGCAGATCCCCCTCGACACCGCAACAGAAACCTCCCTCTTCGACGAGACCAAAGTCCACTGCCGCTACCCCTTCCTCCGCCTCGACGACTTCCGCAACCCAGCAAGCCGGCCGAGAAAAGCATGGGCATCCTACCTCACTAACATGATCTTCTCCATAGGCCTCCTCCTCGAGAAAACCTTCCCGTCATCATGTCCATCAGGAAAGCCCGTCTCCTAGACAAAAATCACATGATTCAGCCCATGACGCCTCACTTCTTCCAGTCGAGCCTGACGGATCTCGAGGCGGAGAGATTCGATCTTGCTGCGCTCAGGTTTCCGGGCGACTTTGATCTGCTAGACGCTTGAAGCATAAGTCAAAGTATCTTGCGTAGAATTGAACCAAGCGCGTTATCATGGTGAGAGTCGAACATGAGTAGAGAGCCGACCTGAGAAGGCGTCAAGGAGGGGCACGACATGTTGGCCAAGACTGACGTCCAAGTTGCTGAGTAACTAACGCCGAAAGCCATGGATTCTGACTCGGGGGCAAGCACCACAAACTCAATTGAGTGCTTTCCCAAAGAAAGCTCGTTATCGGCTTTTAGCCAATCCGGTGGGGAACAGCTGCCAAAGCGAAGCAAATAAACTCGCGGGACGTACGTCACTGACGCCCCGGTGACGTGACACCGTCCCCGAAAATGCTCATCCGCGGGGTCCTTCTTTCCGCAACAAAACATGTACCCATTCCCATGAAAGGTAAGGTAAAGTACGGATATACGTACAATCAAGTAGAGATCCACCTCGGCCAGTCCGCCCGCATCCGAATCAAGTCATCCACGGCCCTTAACGCCGTGCTTTTGATGGGGCCGAGCGGGGAAGCCATCCAGGTTGATTTCAAAGCCCCGCGGTCTCGTCTTCCGTACACCTAATGTGACCACTATTTGAATCGACTGTCTGCCTCTCCTTCACACGGACCTTTATACCTTTGGACTGGCATCATACCACATCACACTGCAAGACATCACGACGTATCCTGCCAGCCACACAATCCTACGCATTCTCTAGATAATTCAACAGTTACAAAAAACAGCCCAACATGAGCAAACACGTCCTCATCCTCGGCGGCCACGGCAAAGTCTCCCAGCACCTAACCCCAATCCTCCTCAAAAAGTCCTGGACCGTAACCTCCATAATCCGCACCCAAGACCAAGTCCCCGCCATCGAAAAGCTCGCCCCCTCGTCTTCGGGCAGCGGCAAACTCAACGTCCTCGTCCGCAGCATCGAAGACGTAACCTCCCAACAAAAAGCCCAAGCAATCCTAGACGAAGTCAAACCAGACACAATCTTCTGGTCCGCCGGCGCAGGCGGCAAAGGCGACCCCTCTCGCACCTTCACAATCGACCGCGACGCCGCCATCCACTTCATCAACGCCGCCGTCGCCACCCCGTCCATCAAGAAATTCATCCTCGTCTCCTACCTGAGCTCCCGCAAGACGAAACCCACCTGGTGGTCCGATAAAGCCTGGCAAGACGCCCTTGACGGCAACAAGAAGCTCTACAACTATTCCCTCGCCAAGATCGCCGCCGACGAGGCCCTCTGGCAGGAATCGAAAAAGAGGACAGATGGCTTTGCGGGCATCAGTCTGAGGCCCGGCCTGCTGACCGAGGAACCAGCCGGCAAGATTGAGTTTGGAAAGACAAAGGAGGCAAAGGGCACATCGAGCCGACAGACCGTCGCCGAGGTCGCCGCGCTTATTGCGGAGAATGACAGCTTCACGACATCGTGGGTAGACTTGCTGGACGGCGACGAAGACCCCAAGACAGCCGTCGACAGAGTTGCAAAGGAAAAGGTGGACGTCGCTGTGGGCGAGGAATTCTACAAGGCTTAAAAATCCATACCACGCTTTGGGAATTTTGTCATTAATAGTACTATCATAATACAGCGAATCTCGTTTCTCGTCATGTCATCAGAGCAATGTGCTTGAGCTCCCTATTACGATTTGTTAGCATCAGTCAGAAAACGCATCCAAGAGATCGGATGACTTACTCTTGCACCTGCTGTCCCACCTTCATGGGCGCATACGTAACCTCCTCGCCCTCGTCCCTGCCCAGGTTGAATTGCTCAGCCCTAACCTTTTGTGCCTGCTCCGACAGCTGAGGGATAGGAGTGAGATCGTGGTCCGATGACAAGTGCCAGAAGAACGTGGACGAGATGCGGACGAGCGGGCGATCGGGGAGCTCGGCTTTGCGGCGCTCGATCACGGCCAGTGTCTTTTCATTCACCACGACCTCGTGGAAGCCTGCCTTGATGAGCCCGCCCGTCAAGTGCTCCAACTGCTTTCCGGCTTGGACGAGCAAGTAGTTGCCCTCAGGAATCTTGACGGCAATCTTCTTTCCCGTGTTGCGCGCCCAGATGTGCAGGCCTGGATACCGAGAACGCCCGTGAATGGTCAGGAAGTTCAGGTCTGTGTGGAAACCGGCGAGAATGGTGTCCTGCTTGCCGTATTTGACCAAGTCAGAAGCCGTTGGTGCGAGAAGGTGAGGCCCGTACTTGCCAGCAGAGCTGAAAGCATCGGCAGGGAGACCCAAACCGACCGCCGCCATCTCTGCCAGGCCCGTAACGGCTTGCTTCATTGAGGTTCCCCACTTGTCCATGGCAGGAGGCCAACGCTCACGGATGTGCGGAGCTTCGGGGACGACATTGGGGGCGTTGAGCCCGGGGAACTCGGTCTCGTACGGGGGGTTCTCGGCCATGCGCCAGAAGAAACGGCACTTTGGGTCGGGGTCGTGTGCTGTGATATCGAGAGGGCGCTCGGTTTCCGCCAGGCGCTCGATGACCTTCAGGCAGGGCTCGTCTACTGCACATTTGGGCTTTTCTGTATCCTCAAGAGTGACACCGATTTGGTAGCTTAGCTCCGGACGCTCATCCTTCTTGAGCTCTTCAGTCGGCTGGGCAAAGTAGTCCTCAAGCAAGTCGAGGAAAGTAGTGTTGTCTGATTCGGCGACTCGGGAGTCGTGCAGCACGAGCGCGCCATAGGTGATGAGGGCAGTCGCGGCCTTTTGGCACTCATCGCGGACTGCAGCGGAGTCGCGGGGCTCGTTGAGAAAGACGTCGAGATCGATTATGGGGAGATCCATGGGGAGGTCCTGTGCGGCGGCCATCGCGGGCAAGTGGATGCGCGGGGTCTTGTGAAGTTGAAAACTTGGGAATCGCTTCGTTGATGATTTGAGAAGCCGACTGTGGCTGGGATATAATAAGCAAACAATATGTATCGCTGATGACTGCGGCCAGAATTCGCAAACGAGGAGCGGAAATCGCTGGGTTTTGTCTTGTGTCGCTATGCATGTGAGATGGTCGAGATGCGCGCGTGGTGGGGGGTTCAGATGGCTCAAATGGTCGCATGGCCCACCCGGGCGCCTGACCGGAACAGGCAGCTCACTGCCGACCCAGACCGTTAAAGATGGTTCCTGCGCTATGGTGTTGAGCACATCGTGAATGCCAACCAATCCCGTCCTTTCTCGGGGCTCTCCGGGTCGTGTCTACGGAGGCCCATCCGGCGCACCGAGACCCCTACTCCATGCTGATTTCCTTTCAGGCTGCTACCATTGGAGGATCTCTCCCGTTGAAAGTATTTGGTTGCAGATCTGGAAGACTCGATGGGCTGACTCGGGGTAGCGCAGTTTTCAATGTCCGTTGATTTCCGCCGGCCATCGCCGGTCCACGCCGATAACCACTGGTCGGCAGCGTCGCTGCTCTTATGCCTGGAATTATACAATTTGATTCGAACATTAACCCAGATCTTGCGTCTCGTGGTTATTGAACAGCCGAACAATCTGTCCCCGGAGCAGTCCGGTTAGTTGTGCGAGTCAAATAATGAGACCACGCTCAGTCTTCCTTAGAGTCTTCCGCATCTTGAGGAACTTTACGCGGCCATTCGGGGCAAATGTCGATTTCCTCTCGCGGGAACCACAGTTCCAAGAACAGGTATAGCAAGTAGTCAACAATGACACAGAGGCAAAAGAGCTTGCCAGCCCAGATACCACAGCCGTAGTATCGCTTGAGTCGGTCGATGAGGGCGAAAGACCGCACTCTACTATTGCCGAATGTCGAGGAATTGGCAGCGTCATAGCCATAGAATTCGGCTTCGCTGAGCTCGCCCGTGATTCCTTGGTACACGCGCTCGGTGCGTTCAGCAACATTTGTCCATGAGTACATCTTCTGGACCTGCTCATGGAAACGTTCCGTTCGAATCTTGTTTGCTCGTAGTGCAGCAATAGCCCTCCCCGTCGCAGCAACCAGGTCGTCTTCCTCTGGCTTGGCGAAGACAGTCATGTGCGACGGGAGGACCTCAGGAATACCACCAACCTGAGTGCATACCACGTACAGCCCGCAACTGGCTGCTTCTACAATCACAGTACCAAAGGCTTCCGTCAAACTAGGATGGAGGTAAATATGGCCCCGAACCATGACGTCGCGTACTTCTTCATGCCTGATAGGTCCCAGCATTTCTACCCGATCTTGTAAGACGTTTTGTTCAATCATTTGTTCGAGGTCAATGGCCTTGGGTCCTGAGCCTGCAATGATGAACCTCGTGTTCGGGTGGTTCTCGAGGATGCGAGGGATCGCAGCCGTTAGGAGATCCGTTCCCTTATTATAGAAGAGACGAGATATCACGACGATTGTGACTACATCGTTCGGTCCCAGGTGATGTGCGGGAGGTGGATTTTGGCCAAATGCATTATTGGCGTCGGTTGGGGGATAATCGAGTGGACGGAAGTTCTCAGACACGACGGCGTTGGGTATGACTGAAACCATGAGGGGATCTAGAGATGCTCGGAGGACGGTATTTTCCTTGCTACAATTCCAGTCAGTTATGCCTGTCCGAGGGCTAGGGCGCGGCGCGACGTACCAGGTATGGCTGACACAAATAACGTGGTCCACGTCACTCAGGGAAAACTTGAGAATCTTGTTTGTCAAGATACTGCTAGCATCGGCGAATCCAAAAAGCGAATGGTCCGTAAAGACGGTCCGGAGACCCATGGTCCTCGCATGCAGAATAGCTTCATGGCAAAAGGTGCTCAAACTCGCATGGCCGTGGACGATTTCGATCTGTTCTCGAATGAGGATGTTGCGAATGATGGGAAAGGCTGAAAAGACGGTTGGGAAACTAGCCGATCGGAATACGACGAGGAAGGGGATGTGGTAGACTCGCAGGCCGTTTGTCAGGTTTCGAATACCGGTGCGACCCTTATAAGCGTGGGTAATGATAATGACTTTGTGGCCTCGATCGATGAGCTTCGTGGATAGCTGGTAAATGTGACTTTCGACTCCTCCTGGCTGTGGGAAGAAGAAGTCGCTAGCCATAGCGATATTGTATGTTCGAGCCATGTTGTCTATATGCTCGGCGCGAGCGGTGGTCACCTAGAAGAACGATGATGGAGCATTGCAGGTTGTCAAGCGTAAACTCGCGGGACAAGATATGTAGTTGCAAATGGAAAAGGACGGAGAGGTGTGTTCCTCAAGATCCTGTTTAGCTAGGTAGGTACCTTGCGCAACCACCTGGAAGGTACGCGACTGGAGCTAAGGGGGGAGCTGCGGCATGGTGGTCCGATAAGAAAGAAATGGTAAGCGGTGGAGCCTGGCAGAACTACGATAAGGAAGTTCATCCAACTTTTTTTTGGGACGGTGCGACAGGTGCCCCTCCAATATCTGTATGTCAAGCCTCGCTGCGAAAAGAAAGAGGTTTGCGCAACGTCTGCAGAAACTCTACAAGGTTTGCGAGAGCCCGATTGACACCATGTACGCTCGTTACATCCCATCCAAAAAGAAGGAGGCTCAGGCGCCTGTCGAAGCTTCGGCGCCGCCTCCTCCCCCAGCTCCAGAACCATCCGCGATACCAGCTAGCGAGCCAGTCGTGACCGAAGGTACCACCGCGGCCGTTCCGTATGCACGATTCGTACCGTCCAAGAAACCTCGCACCTCAATTTTGAGTGCAGCACCGACAGAACCTGACGTCCTGTCCCCGGCGACGAAGCGCAAACATGAAGAGCCGCTCGAGGCCGTAGATACCCCCGTCAAGAAGAAGAAGTCAAGAAAGTCGGAAACTGGTGCTGCATTAAACGAAGAAGAGACGTCACCAAAAAAGTCTGAGAAATTGGAGTCAAAAGACACCAAGTCGGGAAAGAAGCAAAATAAGAAGCGCGAATCTGAGGTCGAGGCTCCAGAAGTAGAGGATGCCAAGGAAAAGAAGGATAGGAAAAAGAAGAAGAAAGACCGCGAACAGGACGAGGACGCAGAAGATGACGCTGTCGACAGACGACACAAGGACGTCCTGGCTAAGGCTACAAAGTACTTGAAAAAGTCAGCAGAACTAATCGCCAAGAATGAAGCCGCGGACAAGATGGACGTGGACGAGGAAGAGGAGAAGGAAGAAGAATACGACTTGGTGCCCCTTCCACAACCCGAACCGACCGCCCTCGATAACTCGAAACCATCTTACGAGACGCTGCCACCATGGCTCGCCGCCCCGATCCGCGTAGCTCCCGACACACGGACACCCTTTGCAGACATTGGTATCAACCCGAAAGCAGCACAGATTCTCGAGTCAAAGGGGTTCAAGGACGCTTTTGCTGTTCAGACAGCCGCTCTTCCCTTGCTTCTGCCGTCTTGCAAGCATCGCCAGGGGGATGTCCTCGTTGCCGCAGCCACTGGTTCCGGTAAGACCCTGGCATACGCTTTGCCTATCGTGCGCGACATCAGCCAAGGCGCCGTGACGAGGCTGCGGGCTCTGGTCGTTTTGCCGACGCGTGAGTTGGTCAAGCAGGCCCAGGAGGTATTTGAGCTTTGCGCCAGCGCATTCGATGGCCGAGAGCAGAAGAGAGTGCGCATCGGCATTTCCATTGGTAGTCAGCAGTTGAAGCATGAGCAAGCCAGTCTCATCGAAAAGAGGGAGAGGTACGACCCTGAAGCGTATCGTGTCGCACACCAAAGGGAATTGGAGGCATGGAAGGATGTTGAAGACACCGCAGCAGAAGATGGAGATGCAGCAGTAACGAAGCCGATCGCCGGGTCTCTTCCGGATCACATTGTCGACTACACATCCAAGGTCGACGTCCTAATCTGCACCCCCGGAAGGCTCGTCGAGCACATCAATTTGACCCCCGGCTTCTCACTAGACTATGTGCGCTGGATGGTCGTCGACGAAGCCGACAAGCTCCTCGCTCAGAGTTTCCAGGGCTGGCTGGATACCGTCATGCCCAAGCTCAGCACCAACAAATTCAGCGCTCGCGACTTCCCCGACTCAAATCTGAGCGGCGTGCGCAAAGTCGTCCTCAGTGCCACTCTGACGCGAGACCTTAGCTTGCTGAGTGGGCTACAACTCCGTAGGCCGCAGCTCATCGTCTTGGAAGGCAAACAAGCCGACAGCACGACATCTATTGCCGAGCATACCCTGCCCACTCTGCTCAAGGAGTCGGCCATCAGAGTACACGACGCAAACCTCAAGCCGCTCTACCTCATCGACCTCCTTCTCGACGGCCACCTCATGTCCGAGACCACGTCCAAGACGGCTTCCGAGTCGCCCACGGAAGACGACGCCATATCTTCATCAGACGATTCCTCAGACTCCGGTTCCTCCTCAGACTCAGGTTCCGACTCGGACTCAGACAGCTCCTCAGACGCCAGCTCAACAGCTGCCGCTGCCACCACATCCAAATCTTCCACAAAACCCTTCACAACAACAGCCCTCATCTTCACCAAATCAAACGAATCCGCCCTCCGCCTCTCCCGCCTCATCTCTCTCCTCCACCCCTCTCTGGCCCCGTCCATCGCAACCCTCACCTCAACCCAAAAGACCTCGGACCGCCGCCGCGCCCTCCGCGCCTTCGCCGCCCGCCGCCTCCGCCTCCTCGTCGCCTCCGACCTCGTCGCCCGCGGTATCGATCTTCCCCTCCTCGACAACGTCATCAACTACGACCTCCCCGCCAGCGCCGCCGGCTACGTCCATCGCGTTGGCCGTACCGCGCGTGCTGGCCGCGCCGGCGCCGCCTGGACGCTGGTTGAAGACGGCGAGAGTGGTTGGTTCTGGGGTAAAATTGCCAAGCCGAGCAGCGGTATCCGTCGCGCGGAGAAGGTTGATCGTCTGCGTATCGGAGACCCCGACAGCGGCGGGTTCGAGGAGGAGAGAGTGCAGAAGTATGAGGAGGCGTTGGAGAAGTTGGGCAAGGAGGCCGGTGAAGCCAGGAGGCAAAGATAGTGTTGGATATAGCGGAGTCCCGTATAATAATACCATTTCAGAGCATGTGTTCCCTAAGATCCATCTCCTTTCGTCATTTACACTTGGGCCTGCTCACCAAAGGTCATGACGGGTGTATTCACAATTGGGAAAGCTTGGCACAACTTCTCGCCCCAACATACACTGAGACAAAGCTGTCAGGCTAAAGACTAGACCACTAAGATGGCGGGGCTTTCTTGATCGTGTTCATTACTTTATTGATTGGGCTATCACCACTTAAACTCATCCTTGCCATGTAAGCTATCAACACCATTACGAGCTGTTGTCACCTGGAAGGGCCGCGAACTCAGCCAGGTGCGCGGCTCACGAGGTGATGGCGCCCATCGACATGATTGATCCATCATTATGGGCTTTGCAGGTAGGGAAGCTGAATAGGTAGAAACAAAAACAAAGAATAGTACTATCGAGACAACAGGAGTGTCCACTGATACCGCGGTCTTTCTATTGTGTGAAGCGTACCGAGAACTGCTTGAGTAATAGTCAAGCTACCAACGCAGACATTAAGTGCACTTGCCAAGGAACCAGCTCCCTGTCAACCACGTCAGTACAAGTACTATAAGGTACTACCAACCAACCTCGAACGCGAGGAAAGAATTACTTGAAAACATACCTTGGTAAGAGACACACTTCAAACCGTTGTTGCACACAGTTCCGGAGTAGTTGACATTGCACCAGTCTAGACCACAGTAAAGTCGGCATCAGCAACTCTCTCACTTAACGGAGACACCCTTCCTTCCTCTAGGGACATGAAACCTCATCCGAGGCGAAGACGTCTACTAACCTCCCTTGCGGCGCTGGCCCCAGCAAACGTACTCAGACGAGCCGGTGTGAGGCATGCAGTAGCCACTGAGGCACTCAATGTTGAGCTGGCACTTTGCCCCGTCGCCGCTCAGAGCAAAAGCGGTGCCGGCCATCTGGGCGACGAAGAAGAGGGACGAGGACAGCTTCATGGTATATTGACTGGAATAAGGTTCTGACAGAATAACAAATGGATATGGAAGGGGTTCCAGGTACGAGCTGTTGCCGGTGGGATAGTTCGCTCTCTACTTGGTTATATAGCAAGCTGTGCATCCCCCTATCTCCTCCATTCTTTCTGTACTTTCTGCGTGGCCTAGGCTCCTGGGGTCGACAAATTGTCGCCCTAGTCACAGTCCCCAATTTCTTTTACGAGAATGTACGGATACGGTTTTGCGTTCATGATACAAGGATGTGCAGTGACGCCCTCCGTCCTGGCGGGCGGTGTTGTGGAGTTTGTTGTCGTGATACCCATTTACTCGGTAAGGGCAGGCGACTCATGTTAGTAGTGAAATTGTCGTTCCCTACCCTCATTTGAGCCAAGGAGGTCCACTAGATGATTAAAGAGTGTTCTATTATACTTTGAGGCTAGCAGCCGTTTACTTTCAACTTTCCGACGATCCGTATTACGAGGAGTAATCTCTGGGAAGTGGGAGAGACAAAGTTAATGAAATGCGAGCTCCTTGATCCGCCTCAGGGACCTTTACTCCGTATGATCCGGATAGCAAATCGATAGATAATTTACAATAATTGGTTTGCCTACCGCTCTGGGTGAAGTGCAACGTTTGTCGACTTAATAGAACCAGAGTTGATAGTCGATTATCTGACTCGCGCAGTTGGCTTAGGAGTGCTGAGGCCTTATGGCACAGAGTGCCAGCGCGATGCCTATATCATCAGTTCCATGTCTCTTGATTGCAAGCCGCGTCTTCCCCAAGACCAATCAAGACGCTATACAAACACAAATCTCCTCGGCCAAAAGCTCAGATTCACCACTGCAACCCGACCTCGCGCTCAAAATCTCGTGCCGTCGAGGGTTCACTTACCGATTTCCTCTCACATAATGATGCTCTAAAGAAAATTGCCACTGGCACAATTGAAGTTGGTGAAAGGAGAAGGATTAGGTACAGTCCAAGTAAACACGTCATCTTCAATATGTTTCTCGGCAATTCTGTGCCGGTCAGCAATCGGCATCAACGATACGGAGAAACTTTGAGTTATGCCTGATTCCGAGTCCGGGAGAGTCCGTTGAAGGCCCTGAACGTCGTAGAAATCAAGACTTGAAGATATTGATCGATACTCCTGAAAACATTGATCGAACAAGTCTTTTAGTTTCTGAAGACTCAACGAGTGTTGTTGCCGCTGATCAAAAGATAGGAGCTCGTGACTAGTAAGCAGTGCACAGGTGCTGGGAACACGTATCCTGCGACAGGAAGAGACCAGGATTCGTGGCCGAATCCTTCTAGAGAAGGGTCCCCAGCAAATCAGCGATCTCGAAAGACTCACCCGCAACAATCAGTGACTCTTTATCACACTCATTCTAGTTAGCCCATCTCTACAACTCTTATTCATAGATGGATGAAGTAAATCACGCATTTGAAGAAACCTGTAATTACAAAGAAGAGACCACATTGCAACTTTGCATCATTGACTTGCAACAGTTGACAAACTACGCCGTCTCGGTCTTGATATATAAACCGCCCACGATCCTTGGCAATCCGGCATCAATCCATCAACACATCAACATCCCTCAACCTAGAGCCTCAAATACCATACAACAACACAAACAACCCTCCAATCTAACAATACCACATCTCCAACAATGCCGCCCTACACAGTCCAGCCCGTAACCCTCGCCGACAGCCCCGCCCTAGCCCGCAACAACATGTCCGCCTTCTGGACAAACCCAAACTGGAACCTCCTCTGGCCCAAATCCACAACCCTCGACTTCCTCGTCGCCGAAGCCACAAAGCGCATGCCAAACAACCTCCTGCGCGACCCCGCCGCCCTGCGCCACCAAAAGGCCGTCGACTCCGAAACGGGCGAGCTCGTGGGCTACGCGCGCTGGGAGCTGCCGGCCGGCCACCGGGATGCGGCGGCGTGGGCCGGCTCCAAGATTGCAGAGGATGCGGTGAGCCCGGAGGAGAGGAGGGCGATTCAAGAGCGCTCTGATGCGGCGTGGTGGGAGCCGATCGATATGGACGGCATTGATGATTGCGTTCCGCAGAAGATGCGGATTTTGGCCGAGAAGCCGTACATCAGTAAGTCCCCGTCGTCGGATGCTAAGTGGACGGGAGTGACGCGGACTTTCGGGCTTAGAATTCGGGGCCGGGCTTATCCCTTCCCCACCCCCCCCCCCCCCCCCCCCCCCCCTTCCCTTGCGAGACCCCCCATTCTTGAGCTAAGGTGTGAACGAAGGCCTCGACTACCTTGCTGTCCATCCAGACCACAAAGGCAAGGGAATAGCCACCATCCTCGTCCAGGAGGGCATTCGTCTCGCCAAGGAGACGGGGATCGATGTCTTCATCCTAGCTTTCCCGGCCGGCCTGAACGTGTACAAGAGACTGGGCTTCAAAGAGGTTCACCGCGGTTACCAGGACGACACCAAGTACGGCGGCGAGGGTTATTGGGTGACGCTGTTGACGTATGAAGTCGAGAAGACAAACAGCGCGTAGGGGCACTCTATTAGGTCACTCCTGGCAGTAAGAGGTAGGGATAAGAGAGAAACAACGACGTCAATGATGATGAAACGAAGGCAGCGTGTTTGATCGAGGCAATATACGATTCATAGCTATTTTTTCACAATTTCATTAATACAGACCCAAGGTCCCGACAACCCCCGTCCCCGCCTAGAACCGTGCCTCAACCTTCTCCTCCGTATCCTGCAAAGCCCAATCGCTCTTCTTGGTCTTACTCCTTACAGCCGCCGCCTGCTGCGCCGTGAACCCCTTGGCCTCGACCGCCGGATTATACCCAAGCTTGTTCGCCTTACCCACCGCCGCAGAATCAACCGCCGGCGCCTCTTTGCCGTCCGCGCGACGGTACACCGTCACGACCACGGCGCCTCCCAGGCCGAGGTTATGCTGCAGCGCAGCCTTGGTTCCCTTGACGGCACGGTTGTTGGCCCAGCCGCGCAGATGCCAGACCAGCTCGGCGCACTGCGCGATACCCGTGGCGCCGAGCGGGTGACCCTTGGAAATCAGCCCGCCCGACGGGTTGACGACGTACTTGCCTCCGTACGTGATATCCCCGCGCCTCACAAGCTCATGCGCCTTGCCCGGCTCCGCCAACCCAAGCGAATCGAGCACAATCATCTCGTTGGCCGAGAAGCAATCGTGCAGCTCAACGACTTGCACGTCCTTGGGAGTAAGCCCGGCCTCGCCCATGGCGGCTTTGACGGCGTGCTGCGTCATCTCGAAGCCCATGAGATCGATAGCGGAGCGGGAAAACAGCGAGGGCGCGTCGGTGGCGAGGCACTGGCCCGCGACGAGGACGGCCTGGTCCTTGAGGTGGGGCCGCGCGTCGAGGAAGGCCTGCGAGACGAGCACCGCGGCGGCGCCGCCGTCCGAGGTCGGGCAGCACTGCAGCTTCGTGAGGGGCGCAAAGATCTCGGGGGCCTTGAGGATCTGCTCCTGGGTGTAGACGTCCTGGAACTGGGAGTAGGGGTTCTTTGTGGAGTGCTCGTGGTTGATGCGGGCGATTTCCGCAAAGTCCTCGGCCTTGGCGCCGTATCTGCGCGTGGTATTAGCAAGATGTAAACGCAATCTAGTAGAGGTCTATGGCGGCATACTTCTCCATGTATTCCCGCCCAGCGTTGCCAAACATCTGCGCAGCACCGGGTGCGTTGGTGATACCTCTCGTCTCAGCCATCATCTTGATCGTGGTACCCGTGGGGTTCTCGCGATCATTGAAAAAGCTCTGCAGCGAGCCGGGCATCATCTTCTCAAACCCAACGACGAGCACGCAGTCGGCGGCGCCAGACGAGACAAAGCTGCGGGCCATGGCGAGGCCCGTGGAGCCTGTGGAGCAGTTGTTGTTGACGTTGTAGATGGGGATGCCCGTCATGCCGAACTGGTAAAAGACGCGCTGGCCGCAAGTGCTGTCGCCGTAGCAGTAGCAGGCGACGCCCTGTTCGACGTCGTCATAGTTGATTTGGGCGTCGAGCATAGCCTTGACGCCGGCCTCGAAGCCCAGCTCCGTGTAGTCGACCTTGCCGCGGGGCTTGATGAACTTGGTCATGCCGACGCCGAGGACGTAGCAGGGCGCCTTCTGGCGTTGTTGTCTGGGCGCCATGATGTGTGATGTGTGTATGTGTGTCTGGAAGGATATATGGGGTTAATTCCTGTGGTATGACTGTGATGCTTGGGATAGCTTCTAGTTGAGCTCGGTGATGGTTTAGGAGTGTTTGTGGGTTGACAATCAATGGAGGAGGACAAGAGAGAAAGACACCTGGATAGATAATCCGGGGTAGGACCTTGTGATATATTCCCCCGGCTATTTAGACAAGATGAATAAGGTATGCAGATGTCTCCTGGCTTTCATGTGCTTTGCAAGAAAACAACAGGTGAAGTTGGCAAGCTTTCGCCTCCCCCTCATCCGGCACCACTTTCTTTTTACCCCGGGAATACGGGTACGGATAGGGATGAGCTTCTCCAGGTTTCCTCCCTCTCCGAGCTACCTAGTACTTAGTACTATGTAATTACCGGCACATATTCCGCACCATCCGCTGTGACTTTGTGACCAAAACCAGCGTCAAAACACCACCCGAATCCACAGCTAAGCATGTAACAACGGGGATCATTGGGGTCTATGGGGAGCTTCGATGCGGGGAAACAGCGTCTCGAAGACGCAGAATGCCGAGGCCCCGGCCGCTAAGAGGACGGTCGAGCATTTTTGAGCTTCAGACCTTGCAGCTGTTTCCCCAAAGATGATGGCCAATCATGTTGCTTGCCGAGGTAAAATCTGGTCCCTCTTTGCCAGGTTTAGTGCTGTAGCCCTTTTTGGTAACCTTGTCGTCGGACTACCGTGGTGGTTCACTGTCGTTGGGGGGACTAATTAGCAAGGAATGTAGCGAAATGCTGACTCGAATAGGTGATTCAGACTGTCTGATTTCGCTTCTGATACCTCGTGAACTTGTGAAGAGACAAGTCTCATGAGCTTGAGCAACTACCGTAGGCTGTCTGTCAAATGCTGTAACAAATTACATAATACGACTTTTGAATCAGCATAGGTAGCCTTGCAAGTCCCAGGGTCAGTACTGTTCAAAGAGAATCAAACATTATCAACTCCGAGTTGACTTGTACTTTAACAGTCTATTTGTTTTTTTCCAAGATACCACACAACTCATAACTCAAAGCCTACAATTCATTGCAGCTTGCCCTTCACCCACTCCTCAACCTGCTTCTCAATCTCAGGCACATACAACCACTTCATCTGCCCTTGGCCCTCCTCAAACCAAACCTCCTCCCGCGGCAACTTGGCCATCTCATCGCTCGGAAGCCTCTTATTATTCAACATCTTGGTCAACCCAACCAACCTCCCCAACCTCTCCCTCCGAATCCCCTGCCAGAACCCAACACCCTCCTCCCACCCAATCTTCCCCGAACTCTCCCTCACCCTCTTCACCACCAGCGCAAGCGAAGCAGCATCCTCCAACGCCATCGAAGCCCCCTGCCCCGTCGTCGGCGGAATCGCATGCGCCGCATCCCCCAACACCAAAACCCGCCCCGCACCACCCTGCGAAGCCCACCTCTCCAGCGCAGGCAACATGAAAAACGGCCACACATTCATCGTCTCGTCCCGGATCCCCTCGAGCGCAGACCGCACCAAGCCCGGCCACGCCTCCTCATTCAATCTCAGTCTCGCCTTGAGCGCATCCTTATCCGCCATCAGCGCCTCCCGCGGCAGACTCGCCTTCTCCGCGTCAAACGGCACCTGCGTCCCCGCCAGCATCTCCCCGCCGTCCCGCCCCTGCGGCGCCAGCACAAACACCCCATTGCCGCTCGCCACGCTGACGGGGAACTTGTAGTCCTTGTCTTCCGGAACCCGCAGCTGCGCCGTCGGCACGGCGTAGGTCAGCGCCGCGAGCCCCACAAACCCGGGCTTGGCCTCCGGCGCGACATAACTGCTCCGCACCCGCGAGTGGATCCCGTCCGCGCCGACAAGTAACCCGGCCCTCCTTCTCTCTCCGTCCGCAAACTCAAACCCCACTCCTTGATCGTCCTCACCGACAATTTTCACAAACCTCTTTCCATACCGCACCTCCACCCCGCGCGCACGACACGCCCCCGCAAGAATCTCAATCAACTCCTGCCGAAAGATCCGCACGGCATCGTACCCGAACGCGGCCTGACCGCCAAGCGGGTACCGGTCGACGGTGACCTCGTCGCGGTCCTTGTAGTAGACGTAGTCAAAGCTGTACGCCTTCTCCAGGAGCGGCTCGTAGACGCCCAGGGACTCGAGGATGCGCAGGGCGTTGGGGCAGAGCATCATGCCGCCGCCGGCGTGGTGGGGCAGCGGCACCGCGTCGCGGGACTCGTAGATTGTGGCGGGGATGGCGTGCGCGTTGAGGGCGAGGGCGAGGGCCATGCCTGCGATGCCGCCGCCGATGATGGCGACGTCGTCGATATCGTCGTGGGGTGGAGTTGTTGTGGTGGACATTGTGAGTGATGCTCTGAGTGAGGGTAAGGGTAAATGCGTGTGACAAGATAGAGTGAGATGTGTGACCAGTAGACTATAGGCTGTGTGCTATGGGCTAATCTGAACAGCGACGATGGTGAGAATTGTTTGATGCTTGCCTGCCTTGATATCCTCGACGCAATATCGGGGAGACTCCATGAACCTTTATACCCATCCAGCTTCACAACCCGGCTTGCCTAACTGCCCAAAAGTCCATTAGATTAATCCCTCCCATGATTGTTAAGCTAAAAGAACACATCATCGTCCACCAAGTGCGCCCGCTTCCACGAACCAATCTCGCCATTTCACCAAGAAAGCCACACGGCCGCGCCCCCTCCTCCGTGTGACCGGACCCGCCACTCGGCCGAGTCACATACGAGCTGCCCAATTCGGTAAAGCGTCCTCCGTGCTCCGGGCCCCTCCTTCTCCGCGTCCGTCACCAAACCCGAGCCGCCGAATCGCTGCTCTCCCTCCATCTCACCGTTCACCCTGCGGCCCCAAAATCACTAATCACACAAAGCTTCGGTTTGTCAGAGAGAGGGGATTATCGACCTACTCATGTCCACCCCACCCCCGAGTAAGCACTATTCTCGCTATGTAACTACACCGAAAGAAATAGGATCGACTTGCCTGCCCTGAATCATCCTGTCCCGTAAAGTTGTATACACACACACCCACGGGAAACAAGATTCATACTCCCGAATCCCTCCCTCCAGACCACCCCCAACCGGAGAAAAGGCGTCAACGTGAGCCCCGAGCTCCCCTAACTTCACACACACACACACACACAGCAATCCAAAAGGGGGGCACGGGGGGAAACTCTGAATCGTTCCATCTCACCTTCGAACCTCTCGGCTCCGCCGAGAAAACCTTCCCTGAGGGTAGGCATGTACTCGTCCATACACCAAACACTGTGAACAAACCGTCTCATATTCTTTCTTCTCCTTTCACACCGTCCAAGCATCATCACCAAACACATACTTTCCTCCGGCCTTCTCTCGTCATAACCCGTCAACCAAACACCCCTTGCAAAGGGAAAAACCTAGAACTCAGATCCCCTCATCCCGCACGTCCCCAACTCGGCCGAGTGGCCCCGATTTGGCACCCCACGTCCGACCGTCTCTTACACTGTACCTCATACACAGCACAGCTCACCGAAAAAGAAAGATGCTTGCCAAGCTCCTATCGCATCTGCATCCCATAGGCGTTGAACATTTTAAACATCACATCCGCAAATTTACGGGCGCCAAACCCGATATTCTGTGATATCCTGCTCTCAAACAATTATGAAAATGACTTAGGCTTCAAGGACCATGATGGCTTTGGCGTAAGAGGGGGGTGGGTGGGGGGGATGGGAGGCCGTGTTTGTAAATCATCAGGACAAGGACCGCAAAGAAAATCCAGCCTTCCATAGTCAAACTGATCTCGAGGGCATAGGTATTATCACCTCTAAATCCCGAGCGTCAACAACAGCGAGGTGAATGCGAAAAGGCCAATCAACACAATCCGTCTCCCATAACTCTAGAGTGACCATGCGCTGCGTACGGCAAGGTAGGCATAAGCACCACCTTAGCGTCGGGCCCCAATTTCCTCCGTCCGTCGTGGTTCTCTCGGTCCAGAGACCAATGCGACCACCAAACACCCGGCCGAGTTGCTCTCACAACTACTCCAAACCGCCTCCCTACTTTCGGCTCCGTGGATTATTCTGAGCATGTTTGGTCAGCAGACACGCAATCAATCTCACTGCGCCGAATGTGGCTGGCGCAAAGCCTGCCCGTTCCTTTCGGACTTGAATCCTTCTCGGCCGATAGATCTTACGGAGAATAACACCACTGAGAAAGAAGCCTTTCTAGCCCTCAATGAAGCAGTCAATCTCGGCCGGGATGAGAAGGGTGATTCCCAATGATGTCTGGTCTCAATAGTAGACAGCTAGTGACTAGTAACGAATATAGTGTCTAGAGAAATATATAAAGCACATGTGCAAGTCGCGACGAAGATATGTCTAGCCTTTCATCACCATCACATTCATCATAATCAATATCACCATCACCATCATCACATCTCTTAAGCTTCAAAGCTACTCAAGTCTACCTCACAACTTACAATACCACAACCGAATCAAACCAACCAAGACCCAAACCGCTCTCCACCGCTCTCCAAAAATGCACATCCTCCTCATCGGCGCAACAGGCCGCAACGGCACCCTCGTCCTATCCGAAGCCCTCTCCCGAAACCACACAATCACAGCCCTCGTCCGCGATCCCACCACAACCTCCCTCCCCTCTCACAAAAACCTCACCCTCACAAAAGGCTCCCCCCTCTCCCTCCAAAACCTCCTATCCGCAATGCAAACCCCAACACCACCAGACGCAATAATAATCACCCTCAACCCCCGCCGCCTAACAGACTCCCCCTTCTCAGCCCTCGACCCAAACACGCCCCCCGCCCTCCTCCACGACTCCGTCTCCAACACCCTACAAGCCATCAAGACCCTGAACCTGCCTCGCAACCCCAAACTCGTCATGAACAGCATGCAAGGCGCCGGCGCGAGCTCCAAGAGCCTCATCTTCCCGCTCCGCGCCCTGTTCAACCACACCAACATGAAGCACACCCTCGACGACCACAACGCCGTGGACGCGCTGTTCAGGGGCAACGACGACGCGGCGGCCAAAGACGTGGATTGGGTCTTGGTCAGACCGCCCATGCTGACCGAGGGCGAGAGCCTTCCCGTCAAGGTGTACGATGACGAGGGTAGCGGGGTGTGCTGGATGCCCAAGATCACGAGACGGAGCGTGGCCGGGTTCATGGTGGACGCGGTCGAAAAGGATGATTGGAATCGCAGTGCTCCTGTAGTCACAAACTAAGATCAAGTTGAGTCAATATGAGCGATAGAAGCCATCGGGTGGATTTAGAGTTCATGTCAGACAAGGGAAGGCTCCTTGATACTTGAAGTAGTACGGAGTAGTAGTAGTAGTAGTAGTAATAAGCATGCTGTGCAATGCCAACTATGCCCTTCTTTTTGGTTTTTTCCTCCGCTGCTTATTGGTATCTTTGGTGTAATGTATTTACAGTTTCTACTCGTGTGCTCTCCCTTGCCCAGTGGGCTTTTTCGCATCTCTTTGGTTCCCCTGCTAGAATGTCTGCATAATCATCGTCTAGCATCGCATCCCTTTCTTACTCAGAGAAGTGCTGCAAGTGAGTAAAAACTGCGGAATTATGACCTGCTCATCCTCGCCGGCAGTCCAGTTGTTCTTGTTGTTGTCGTCGGTTGACATGTGATTGGTCGTACATGTCTAGCAAGGACAAGGGTCGACGGGTCCTCTTGGATCGCCATGATGTCCCCGCAAAGGGGGAGTTTCGTACCGCTGCCGCGGTATTTGTCGTGTATTTGTCAACGCAGAATCCCAGCAAAACAACTCCAAGCCACAAGGTGTTCGTGGCATGGGCGAATTTTGGGGTGTTCCGGTCTCCCTCGATCACATCCTATCCCTATCCTCAACCCCGCATCAGAATATGTTAGGAGGGGCCTGGTATCATCGGGTTCCAGTAGTCCAAGTCCCAGTCCGCGTAATCATCCGGAGTCTGCCGACCACGCATCAGCCCAGTCCCATCCGTCCCACAGCACCCAGCCGCCGTGGTCACTTACCGCAGCCGCCGACGCATTTGCATGAAACATGAACGGAGGCCTCGTCTGCATGTAGGGATCCATCGGGTCGGCCGGGTTGGGCAAGGACATCTTCTCGGGGCTAGTATTCGTAGCCGCCTGACAGGCGTCGAGCACGCCTTGAAGGCTGCGTCGAATGTCTTGCAGCTTCTGCTCTTGGTTCGTGGACTGCACCGAGGCCAGAACCACGGCGAGCGCGACAATATCCTTGACGTCGTTGCCACCAACATTGCGTACAAGTAGGTTGAGCGTCTTCTCGACCGTCTTGATCAAGCGAGACGGTGACCAGAGCGCAAATGTTTCGGTGCTGAAGGTGACCCCATCATCCATCGGATCCGGGGACATGGCCACGGTAGATGCTATTCCAAATGTATTCCCGTTGATATGGGATTCGGTCGCTGCCTTGATGTAGAAGCACACGCTAAAGGCTGCCTGCAAAATGTCCTTCTTCAGTACCATGTGATACATGTCGCTGACATCCTGGAAATGACTAAGGAGCGGGTCGAGTTCGTCGAGGTACCGCATAATAACCATTGAAGACCGCAAATAAGCCCTCGATATTTGGGATGGAGCATCCGGCAAACCGAGCGCGAATGGGCGGTACAGAGCCAGCAGAGGCCGTCGGACGTGCATGTCGAGGATGACCCTCGACCTCCACTGCTTGCTCTTTTCGACTTCGTTTAGTATACCTTGGCGCGGGAACAGGTAGTTGATATCCTCCAAGAACCGGTCGAGCTTCGTCCCAACTTCGATGATCTCGCTGTAGTCCCGGATCGAATCCACGCGGTTGATGAGGTGCGCAACCTGCATCCGAGCTCCCAACGTCATAGCAGCGTATACTTGCATCTGGTTGTCGGTAAGTTGGTCGATGGGCTTGCTCGGCGGGAGCTCCTTCATGTCGAAGAACAAATCGCTATCGTCAAGGTTTCGGGGAGGTCGGCAGGTGAAGTCTCCATCGCGCACGAGGCAGGACAGGTTACATGCCAGCGAGAGGTGCAGATCCATGTCCAGTATTGTGAACCACAGCCTCCGCCGTAGCTCACCAAAGAACACCGGCACCCGAGGTTCGAATTCCGATGGGTCTCGGTGCATGCCCATAGTCATGGCCATGCGTACGATATAACCTAATTGCGCCCACGAATCCTGTGGCCTCGGCGTGGTCATCCTCTGAGCGTGGACGAGGAGAATCTCGGTCTGCAACGTTGTCAAATCAACCAGCTGTTTGCCCTTCAAACCATCGAGCCAGGACCTGACCAGTGCGCACGCTGTGGGGATATGGACTCCCTCCACGCGCTCATGACCGAGTCCCTTTGACTTGGTCTCGAATCTCGAGCCAATAGACAGCACAGTCAGGAGCTGAGGAAGAAATGTGTCCCCCTGTAGTTTCCCTTCCCAGAACAACTCGTGTTGTTCTTTGAAAGTCGGAACATGAATCATTCGGTAAATAGTCTCGGACGTGTCGATGTAAGAAGCCAGTAGCCTGTCACATATCGATTTCTTGGGAAGAATATCCTGCATGCGCTTCTGGACTGGAATAACCGAATCGGCAAAGACGGATATCGGGGACAATGACTTTCGGTACTCCTCTTGGATCCTCTTGTGTAGTATCTGCAGACCGTACATGGTCTCCCGGATACCCTCAATCTTGGACTGGTTTGCCATGAAGTCTTTGGCCTCGTCAAACTGGAAGAGTAGGGTTAGGGGTAAGAGTCTCGGAGTGAAAGGGGTTCGGGAACAGTTACCAAGTTCAACAAAACGCGCACACTGTTCTGGCCAAAAAATCGAGTCCGTAGGGCGCCTCTCTTCACCGTCAGCCCACGAATTGTTTCCGGCGATAGCGGCAAACGCTGACCAGTTCCGCTGAATTCCGTGCCTGCAGGGCTCCTGATCATGAATTGCTTCTCCAGGCGGTCCAATCGTGAAGTGAGTTCCTCCAAAGCAGTGTGACCAGTTGATTCCCCGTTGCGTAGGGGCACAAAAGACGACTCAGCCGTCTGTGGACCTGATGTCGCGGTTGTGGGCAGGCAGTTCCGTTTTGGCGGACGCTGCACCTCGCCCATCTCGGCGTCCGAGCCATCTGAGAGCATTGACGAGTCGTGTTCGGCGGCATACTTGCAGTTGCGATGTGACTTCTGGCATTGCGAGCATGGCAAGTTGCGGTCACATCTCAACTTGCGCTTGCGACATTCGGTGCACGACTTGACGGGCCGCGGCCTTTTGACACTGCGTGATGCCGATGCCGCCGCCGCTGCTGCTGCCGCTGCCGCTGCTGCCGCCGCCGCCGAGGTTGATGCTCCGCCGGCAGCAGGTGGTGGTACAGGGGTTCCCGTAGGTGCAGGCGTGGGTCCCGGCGCGCCGGTAGAGAGAGTATGGGGAGATGGTAGAGTTGGTGATGTTTCGTAGGGAGTTGGGGCGTTGTTAGGTATCGAGCCCATGGGAGCAACAGCAGCAAGGTTCGTGTTGGGATGCAGTGTTGTTGTGACTATGCCCATTTCCGGGGCAGAGGTGGTTGCGGCGGCCATTTGTGCCGTAAGATGCAAAATTTCTAGAAACCCCCCCCCGTTCGGCACCGACAACAATTACCAGCGGGAGCGGGAAGGACGGTGAGTAACGAAGCGAGGAAACACAGCACAAAGTAGCACAGGCAAGCACACTTGGCGGCACACCACAGCTAAGCGGCGGCAGCAACAATAACGGCAGTGCCTGGCCTCGTGGTCCGAAGCTCGAGGGTGTCTTTCGCTGCGTGCAGACTTTGACGCGCCCACGTAGCGGGCGATTTCTGGTAGTGGGAAGAACAACAAATACAGCTGTATCTGTAGATCAATGCGCTGATCAACGTTGTTCTCATTCACGTTCCCAGGCACGGCTAGTGATGCCTCTGTTCTGGTTCGCGACGCTGGATCTTGAATCTGACTGGTGTCGAGTCATTCGCCGGCCATACATGCTGTGAATGCGGGTGAGGGTGATGGTCGGAGGGGGGGTGCGGCGTAGGCGCAAAGCGAAAACGAGCGACGGGAGTAGAGGCAGAAGCTGCAGCAACGTCGATCTTATTGTTGGAGATAGAGATCTGGTCTGAGTAGCGGCGTGGGCAGTAACAGCTGTTTGCTCTGCCGTGTCCAACAAAGATGGGGTAGCCGTCTGCCGGGCAGGTCGTAGCCGATGTTACTCAAGAAGCGGCCCTGGATCCGTCGCCAATGGAAGAAGATGAAGCTCCAAGAAGAAGAAGAAGAAGATGGGAGTTCGTGAATGAGAATGGAAGGGAAAGAGAGGAGAAGGGGGTTAGATGGGATTAGGAAAAAAAGAGACCAAATTTGGTAGTTGCAATGAATGAATGATCCAAGCTTCCCCGGGGCGTTGGGGGTGTGTGGTGCAGAGCGGTACGGGTGCCGTATGGTCCAGTGCCTCGTCCGAGGCAAGGTAAGGCAAGGCAAGGTATAGAGTAATGTAGAGACGGAGAGTGAAGACGGCACGGAGAAGGTAATAAGGTGAGGAAGGGTTTGCTTGCTTTGGCAAGGTATCTTCTTCTAGCCCGGCAACCTTGGAGGTGAACCGTGAGACTGGCGCCGTGGCCCTCTCTGTCTCTCAAGTCTGAAGAACCTGCTCTGTCGTTCCTGACCGTCGAATCCCGGGAGAAGCTCGAGACGGGGCTGATTGTTAACGATTTACTTTGCCTGCCCCTCCCAGAGGATGGGTACCTGGGAGCAACGATATGTTGGTTCTCTTACTGCTGCTGCCGCTTCTCGTTCTCCTCAAAGAAAAGTACAGTCGAGGACAGATGCCGGGGGGTTGAGGTGAGTTGAGCGTGTCAAAATCGAGGTCAAGGTCGAGGTGTGAGATGTACAGGATCCCCGAAGAGAGAAAAAAGTGTCGAACGTGCAGGGACACAGTGCCCTTGTCAGGCCTGGCCTGGTCTGGGCTGGTTCGTGGTGGACGGGACGGGAAGTTTGGAAGGTTGAGTAAGGTAGGCCAGTCGAAAGATGGTCGTGGTGGTGTGTTTAGTGATGATTTGGTGATCCACCCCCCTTCCACGGCCGTCGTTCTAGGCCATTCAATTGGAGAGATTGGAGGTGGGAGGTCGGGTCCAGGTAGGGTAGGGTGAGGATACGCCGGCATGCGATTCTCCTCAGGTTGAGAGGCATAGAAGTACGGCGAACGCAGGTAACCCGGTATTCGTGTAGGGTGCTGGTATCGAAGAAGGGG